CTTTACTGTGAAATCTGACAAATCACAGAGCCGGATTATGGGCTAGACCAACATTTGCTGGAGTGTGTTTCCAAGCTAGCTCATCTCAGCTGACCCAATGTTGATTGTAGTTATTAGTACCAGTGCAATACTTTAGAGTCCCTTAGCTATGAGTCATCTTCCTGGGCTTAAAGTGAAAGCCAGATGATTGACAAATAAAAAATTGCAGGAATCATATCCAGACTGAGGACTTATGGGAGATTCTGCTCTTACATGAACCTGAGATGGAGGCAGGTGGAGACCACAAACAATATAAAGATACCCTGAGATTTTTTTTCTTTTCACATGAAAAGTCGAAGAATGTCAGTCCCTGTTAGATTAAATATTACAAGTAACAACTGACTTCTTGCAGCAGTTTAAAAGCAACTTCAACCTCACTAATAATAAAGTTATGAGTTTGAAAATGACACTCAGGGCTCCTCCCACGACGTTCAAACAATAAATGTAATAAACGATACATCAATCATTCAATCAATAATAAGAACAGCGATCAGGTGAATCCTTTTTGCACCAACATATGTGATAGGTATGAAAGAAAATATAAAATATTATTGGCTGACTTTACAGCCAAATCCAAGAACAGTTGTCTCATATAAACTATTAAAGCACAGAGTGCAGCTTTGGAACAGCGCATACAGACCGTGTAGCAGTAAAATCTTCACTTTTGCATCCCTCCCTGCATGCACAAGACGAGCGTGAAAGGAAATCACGGCGGGAGAGGTGGAAGTTAAAGAGACGATGGCGAGTGCGCACAATTAGCTAAAAGACCAGACACGTCTCCTCCGCTTATGATGTTTGGAAAATAAAATAAAATAAAAGGAAGATAAAAATGTGTTTAGGGGGCGTTTACTTACCCCGGGAAATTGTATGTGTGCGGAAAATAGTTAAACCGGTTCGTTAGTTTTGTCTTCCTCCGGGTTCCTCTCCATTTGTGCGCGAGAGGACTGCGAAATGCGAAAGTGTCGCTCTTCTGTTCGTCTGCCTGCCCCCCCCCAATTCTCTTTCTCCCGTCTTCGCACGCGCGCACACCTTCCCTCCGCCCGTTTCCAGATGTGTCACGCGCTGCTGAGAATCACAGCTCAACAGCCTGATTATGAAAAGCGTGGCCGCGCGGCATGGTAATCCAGATTAACCACAGAGTTCTGCGGTCCTAACAGACACTCGCACAAACTCACCCACGCACACACGCACGCTGGCACAGTGTGTGTCTAGTAATCGTCTAATTGTATCCTACACACCACAGGGTGACAGCTGAAGTACACCCTGAGGGTTGAATACCGTTACACAGCCTACTGCATTAAACTCCGTTACTCGTCTTATCGATCAAAAGTACCATAATCAGCAGAACACACTGATACTGGAATGTGCGATTTTTAAAAAGAGTATGTTTAGCTTGAGTGAAATGCCAGAGAAGACTTTTATGCGATGCTAAAAAGGAAAGAATAAATACGGCTCCCTTCTTCTGTGCAGTTTGGCCTACATAAAACACAATGTGAGCCCTAGAAATGACAACGTGAGGAATGGGGCAGACTGGCCTGCAGGCTGCAGCTGGGGTAAGAGACAGTAACCCCCATCCATCACTGCCTGGAGGAGGAGACTCAGTGAAGAAGAGCTACAGCTTGTGTACAGTTTGGTTTTTTCATGGTTCTGTTTTACTTTAACTCTGCTCTGTTGTTATTATGGCGTTACACGTTTTGTTTAACTTGTTGGTGTTAACATATGAGCAGTGAGTGGAGTCATGGAACCAGAGGGTCCTTAAATAGTCCTGAAAGAGTTTGTTTTTGTTCCTGTGAGAACTTAAAAGATTTCTTGAATTAAATATATGTCCTTAGTCACTGTCATTTTTCTGGTGCGCTTGTCATTGCTGCAGCACATTCAGTTTGCAGAGGTTGTCCAGCTCCTCCAGGATGGCACATCTATGCATTTCATTGCAAGAACGTTTGCTGTATCTCTCAGCACAGTCTCGAGAGCGTGGAGGAGATTCCAGGAGATGGGTGATTACACGAAGGTGAGGTGAAGGCTGTTAGAAGGGCTTCAACCCAGCTGAAGGACTGGGATTGGCTTCTTTGTGCGAGGAAGAAGAGGAGGAGCACTGCCAGAGCCTTACAGAGTAACCTCCAGTGGTCTACTTGTGCATGTTTCTGACCAAACTGGCACGATGTCCTGATATCCTTTATTAGGACCTGTGATCACACCACAGTGCTGTGCAGCTCCATTGGCATTTGCATGTGAACAAAAGAAGTAACTACTCCTCAGACTTTCTGTCAGACCATAAATTGGTGTTTTTTTTATTGTACTGTGAAGCTTGAGCATTAGTTCTCTTTAGCAGTCTCATTTTCTAAAGACTCTCTAATGGCCACTTGAGCTTTCAAACACAGAGTGAAAGCAGCATGCTAGATCAGCGTCTCCAGCAGGAGGCACAGGACTGAAAGCAGGTCACCAACTTGGCAGCTGGCACAGCATATAATTACTGTACTGTAGATGTTAGACCTCCCAAAGTAGAACACTATGAAGTGCATTGGGTCAAAAATAAAAAGCTTCATAATAAGTGTATTTACGAAGTGTGCAGATTTTGTGACATTTTCAAACACAGACCAGGTGGAAGCTTGCCTCAATGTAAATCTAATCATGCAGTATGGTAAAGCATAGCTTTAAGGTATTAAACATACTTTAAGGTTTTCCCCTATTTATTTAAAATTTTGTTTAATTTTTCTGTTTAATGCTATTTCCTGGAAGAACACTCTTTTAAGCTTTCTGGTGCAGAGCTTCTTTTCATCACATTATCATATTAACCTTCAGATATTGAATCTCAGATAAAGAACTGAGTCCCTTAACCCTTGTATGGTGTTCGGGTCTGTGAGACCCGTTTTCAGTTTTTTTCAAAAGAAAAATTAAACAATTAATTATTTTTTCAACCTGAAATTCATTGGCTTTGGCTTATTTTCTGTGAAGAACATAAATCTGAACTAATTTTCAATGACCTCATACTGTACCTCCCCCCACGCATTTACATTACATACAAGGTGTTCGGGTCCACTGGACCCAGGTCTAATAAAAGTGTTGAAAGTGTAGGTCCTGTGGTCCCACACTCTGTCTTCCTCCTTTCTGGTGCTGCTGATAGTGTTTTCTTCCCCTCCTGCTCTTGCACAAAGTTGAAACATTGTTGAAAACTCAACTATAAACACTGTCTGCTCTTACATTCCCACACATTTTACCCTCTTTCTTGAGGGATCCAAATTTTATTTTCTCATACCCTGTCCCACCTGCAAATTAGGGGCATAATACTATAAATAAGACTTTGCCAGTGTGGTTCTTTATCACAACTGATCAAGATGGCAAAAGATTATCTGCTGCGAGGGCCATCCAATTGATTTTGGAAGAGAGAGGGGCTTCGGATGATGATGTTGACAAAGAGGTTTCAGAATATTTCACATTTCTGAAAATTCAGAGTCTGACAGTGACTTTGAAGAAGAGGATGAGGTTGAGCACCATTTAGTAACAAAACGAAGACGAGTACCCCATCTGCAGCCAGCTCCAGGACCAGAACAAGCCCACCAGACAGCAAGTGAAGAAATATGGATGTCAATAACTGGTGAAATTGAATGGTCTTCTTGCCCAAGAAATGAGCCACCCTGCAGAGCTGTTACTGTGATAAGCCAGGGCCAACACGGCTGACAGTTACTCATGTGCAGGACATCAAGTCTTCATTTGAGCTTTTCATCCCAGATTCCATCCAGAAAATTATTCTGGATTGCAGTAATCTAGAAGGAAGGTGTGTTTTTGGAGAGAGGTGGAAGGAGATGGACCAAATTCATCTAAGAACCCCAAAGGCCTACTTTGGGGTTCTTATCCTTGCAGGAGTTTTCAGGTCCAAAGGGGAATCCACAGAATCCCTGTGGGATGCAGAAACCGGCAAGAACCTTTCCGTGCATCAATGTCTCTGGAAAACTTCCACAAAATTTCCAGGATTATCCGTTTTGATAACCGAGACGACAGACCAGCTCGACGGCAGAGAGACAAGCTAGCTGCCATCAGGACAGTGTGGGATAAGTGTGTGCACCACCTCCCCCTGTTTTACAACCCTGGGCCTAATGTCACCATTGATGAGCAGCTGATCCCATTTAGTTGTGAAACATATTGCTTCACGTGTAAATGTGTTGTGTCTTTCCACTCACTCCACTTGATTATAACTGATTTATTTTTTTATAACATTTTATAAAAAAAAAAACGAGAAGCACATTAATTCATAAATGTGATCTAACAAAGGTAAAGAGAAAAAATTAACCATGTTTGCTGTTCATATGGCTTGTAATTGGGATGAAGTAAACATCTGTTGAGTAATTTAACATAAAATTGTTTGATAGTGTTAATTTGGAAAGCCAAAACTCTAGCGGGTCCACCAGACCCATGAACACTGGCTGAGTAACAAAAATATGAACACCACACAAAGGTTAAAAAGACAATCGCTGTGGTGGAGTTATGCAATCTCCACCACAGCAGCTGCATAATGGAAATAGTTCATGTAGGCAGTATTCACAGGAAAAAGTAAAGAAAAGTCGTATCTCATAGCATATATCTCTGCCGAGCAACACAAGAATATATAAACGTGCTTTTCATAACATTTGGTTGCACAGGCCACGATGAGCTCACCGCCACGGTAACCCAAGTGATGTATTTTATTCTCATTAGTTTAAATGCTCATTTCTAACATCTTATTTCTTTTTTTTTCACAGTTGCATAACTGCTCTAATATGACCTGGTTAAAGAACCAGATAGCTTCACATTATATTATTTTATTTATACATAATAAGTAAAAAACCTCTCATCACATTCCTCCTTTAAAAAAAAAAAGTAATTCTTCTTCATATTCTCCACGGCTCTGTCTACCTCGGTATGTTACTTTAATTGCTGCTTTACATAAGAATGAAATCCCAGTCTGTTTGCATGAGCTATTTTTAGAGTGCAGCCATGAAAGGCCAGTATTTTTACATATCTGCCTGGCATATGGTATTAGGATAATTACGCTGGTATTTCTTCAGTACGTGGGTTCGTGAAATCAAAAATGAGCGCTCAGGCCCCGGGGGCTTCATCGCCCCAGCTAACCCCTGCTCAGTCCCTGTCTTTCTACGTGTCTGCCGTGTGAGTGACTGTGGCCGTGCGAGTGTTGGCCACCCCCTCCTCAACACACACTCACACACATATCTTGCCATCTGTTGACATGTGCAGCTGTTCAAAAATAGCCCCTCTACCAGAAGCTTCCGTAAGTGGCCTGCAGATCAGCAGAGAGGGCTCCTGTCCCACGTCCATGCAGGTTGTTTTGACTCTACAATGACCACGTGTACTCTAAAACCACTGCAAGATCATTTCTTTTGTTCATTTTTTAACCCCTCTGTTCATCTGGGGTTTTTGTTCTTTGATCATTTCCTGATCCAGAGTGGCTGCTTGAAGTGCTGCAACCAAAGCTGGAAATGGAGCCCGTTTCTGACCAGTTCATGCAATTCCACCCCATCCATGGTACCAATGTTCGACTGGACCACTCGGGAACCCAGGCCACAAGAGTAGAGAGCTTTGCCAACGGAGTTTGTTTTAGCAAATGCCCCCTGAAGCCTGGAGAGATTTTTCTAATAGAGATTGAAGATAAGGAGCTGGGATGGTGTGGCCACCTCCGGATCGGTCTGACCGCCAGGGACCCCAGGAGCTTAGAGGTGGTACCTGAATACTCCATTCCAAACTTGACAGATTTAGGGGACAGCTGGATATTTGCTATCACGCGCAACCATAACAAGATCGTCGAGGAGGCTGAGGTCATAGAGCCCAGGCAGGGAGAACTGGTCGGGGGACGGAGGCTTGGGCGAGGGGAGGAAGAAGACGAGGCTGGAGATCAGGCAGATGAACGAACGGCCATGAACAGAAAACCAAAGACTTTCTTCACCGACACCCACTTGTACATCGAGAATGTTCGAATTCCCAGAGATAAGCTGGTTGGTCGGAGCCGGCCCGGGCGCTACAGTCACATTTTAGACGACTTGTATAAAACCAACGCCCTGCCTCCCACAGCCAGACGCAGCAGGATAGGAGTACTGTATGTGCCTAGAGGAGAAGGCCTGGCTGACATGCACATAGTCATTAATGGGGAGGACATGGGAGCTTCTGCAAAGAGAATCTCTACTGCGGGGCCTCTCTATGCTGTGGTGGATGTATTTGCTGCTACCAAGTGTGTTCGGATTGTCCAGGTGGAGTATGGATGTGAGTGTAGGAATGATTTTGAGATAATAGGATGCAAGGCACAGACATTGATTAGCACTAAAAAAAGATACAACACAGCTACAAAGGAGTCATTGTGTACACGCTCCTTTATTAACATCTTTGTGGTCATCTTCACAGTCACTTTGCATTTCTCTGTAGTTATTTAATCTCTTTGTAGTTGTCTGGCATCTCTTTGCAGTCTGTTGTGTCAAGTTTTTGTCATTTTGAGTCTCTGTGTTGTTGTGTGTGTGTCTGCTTATAATTTTTATCTTCTCTTAGTCAGATTATGGCGGTTTTTAGCCTCTTTTGGACTTTTTGCATCTCTTTGTGTTCATGTTGTGTCTTGTCGTGATTGTTCTCTGCATCCAAAGGGTCGTCACCTTTTTGTCATGTTGGGCTTCACTATGGTAATTTGACCATCCATCAAATATTAATGACTGTTTAATAATTTCAGTTGCTCAGGCTCGTGGGCAGCTGGGCAGTTTGCATGTTTAGAAATTCTTTAGTGCTTTTTATTCATCTCTTATTTTCTCCATTGCCTTTAATCTGCTAAAACACTTTGTATTTTTTGTCATTTTCCTCTTCTCTTTTCTGTCACTCCAGTCTCATCCTTGCAGACACTGTGTAGGAAGGCCATCCAGAAGCACATTGTTCACAGGATGGCCATTGACTGGCTCGAGCTGCCAGAGGCACTCAAACACTACTGCAAGTATGAATGAAGGACACATGGACACGTGGATATCGCTTAAGTGCTAGGTCCCATCAAGAATTTGATATTTATTTGGATGACATTTATAAATTATAGCGTTACACTCTTTTCACTTGGAGCTGACATGAATTGTTTGAGATGACAAGATCAAAGTAAAGTAAATTTAAATAGTTTGTTATGTGTCTGTTTGATTGATTAGTTTTAATGTTTGCATCACAGGGAGCATCTGTGTGTCACACATCGCTGTGTCTGTAATGAATAAAGTTGTTCCAGCTGCAGTGCAGCTGCTTGCAAGCAGAGGGTTAAATTCATGTGATGATCTGGTCACACGGAGTCTTTTCCACTTTCATGTTCATGTTTCACCCTTTTTTTTTCTGACTCCATGAACCAGTGTTGTGTCTACACATAATACAGAACTTAGCAAAGAATTCATTTTAAATTGTATGTTTAGACTTTGTCATTAGTAGCCTTTCAGAGGAAAAAAAACTATGGCAGATAAACAGTAGTTATAAGTAATGTCCTTATGAAGTAGGAGAAATCCAGCAAAGACCCTGTAGCAAGGCACAGGGCCTACTCATAATGAATATGTTGCCCCAACCTAGTTAATTTAACTGCACTTTACTTCAATTTTTTTTTCTTCAATGAGTTTTTGAAGCCTCGTCAGAAATGGTCTCAGTGGAAACTTGTCAACAATCTGTTTTTGCCTTATATATTTCCATGTTTGCACAAGTTCCAATGAGATGACTGCAATTATTCCCCAGTTTCCCAGCAAACTAAAAAAAAAAAATATGAAGGGTTGCTTGATACTTTTTGCACTGAACTGTGATTTTCAGATTTACATATTTCAGAATAACAATCAATCTCCTTGTAAAGTTAAAACGAGTCTGGCTGTGGTGGAAAGTTATAATTAAATCAATCTTCTTAGTTCTTCTTCATCTGCCTCCATAACCCTCTGCATGTCCTCCTTCACTACATCCATGAATAAGGAAATAATAAGGCTGTAATTGAATTTTTAAAAAAGTATCACGTGGTTCCAATTGAAAATATGATGCTCCATTTCCGGTACGTTATGTTGATTAATGTTTGCTCAGCCCATCAAACACATAAATTAGAGATAACACATCTGTTTCAGTCCGACATCAGACTCGGAGTAACACGACCTCCACCTGTGCGTCTGCTGTCAGACACTGACATCTAGTGGCCGTGGTAATAACGGCAGTGGGCGGAGCTCCCGTTAAATCCTAAGCCAGGATCACGTCACACGAGAGGAGGGGAAACCGGAGACGTTCCGTAATCGCTCCCAAACGGAGGAAGAAACACCGAGCAAGCTTAGGAGAGAGAATTTTCCCTTCAGCTAATCTATTTAGACCAAATATCATGTCCTTCTGTCAGTTTTTCGGCGGTGAGATCTACAAGGATCATTTTAAACCAGGTGAGCAGCAGGCGGTCCCGTTATTCGGTAAACGGTGATGTGATGTAACCTCCCCTGGACTGTAGTATATAAGTAAGGATGAAAATGAACTTTGAGGCATCATGTGACTGTAAAATTAAGTAAATCCTGTGCAGCATCGCAGTGGCAGGATACAGGATGTACTGTGGCAAAATCTGGGTACATTTATAAAATAAATGTAGCTGGATTTTACCAGGATCACAATAGAATAAAGCTGCTGTAATAGTAAAAACAAAGCAGTGATACAGCTTAAGAATCCAATCAAGTATTTAGCTACAGCTATTAAAGGGTGGTATGTTCAAACGATTTCTTCAGATGTTGTCATGGCACTTGGAGGAATTTTTGTAGCACACAGATTTTAGTTTTTGTTAATGAGCAAACAAACTGTAGAATATGGAGCAATGCTGGAAGGATTTTAGCCCAAAAAAAGTGCAAAAAAACAGCACGATCTCAGCTATTCAGAAAACAAAATAAACCCAGTTCTCTCTAACTACTTAAACATCTTTAGATTATATTGAATGTCTTTTTGCAGGTTGGAAATAAATAAAGGCACCAAAGCTTTTTTTGCATGTCCCCCTGCAGGAGTGTATGTGTGCTCCAAATGTAACCATCCGCTCTTCTCCAGTCGGTCCAAGTTTGCTCACTCGTCTCCCTGGCCGGCTTTCACAGAGACCATCAGGGAGGACAGTGTAACCAAGATGATGGAGACGCTCACCGCCTACAAGGTCCGAGTCACAACCAAGCAAAGTGTGCATTGCAGCAACAAAAATCATAATTACAGTCACCTGTTGGTTCCAACGGGAGGTTTGTGCACTCTGGTGTTGTGTGTACACAGGTCCTGTGCGGCAAGTGTGGCAATGGACTAGGCCACGAGTTTGTAAATGACGGTCCAGAGGAGGGAATATCGCGTTTTTGAATATTCAGCCACTCGCTCAAGTTTGTCCCCAGAAAAGGTAGAGAACTGTGTTTACTGCTGTTTTATAACAAGTTAACCTTGGAAAATCCATGCATGCAGGCAGAAAAGGTCACTTCACCTATATTATAAAACCTGCTTCTTAGCAATAATGCTTTGTTAAGCTGTGAAATGAATACTCCCTGTTAAAAGTTTTAATTGGTAGCTGTTTCTCTTAAAAGCAGAAAATAATAAGCGTTGTCCACAATGAGGTCAGTTGATTCTCTCACATATGAAACAATCCTTTCTTGCAAAAACCACTCACCACTGGTGATTCAGGCTCGATAAGCATTAGGAAAAAGAATCAACTGTACACTTACTTGACAATATAGCTATTAGAACAATATTGTGGATTTAAAGTACAATATTACTGAATCTGAAATGAACTGAGGTAGCAAATGCTGTTCCGGTTCTCTCGTCTAATAACTTGTGTGTCCTGATGTTGCTCCACAAAGTGCTCGATGTTTGAGATTTGACTGGTAGCTTACTGTAAGAGTGAATCAGCATTTTTCAGATTTAGCCTCACATGCAATCAAACAACAGCAAGTGTGTTTCTCTTCTCTGTCCAAGGTAAGGACAAGCAGTAAAGAGCGAGTGAAGTGTTTCGTGTCCAGCTGCTGTACCTGCTGCTCAGCTCGAATCCGGCGAACAGGTTGGGTCGGTGGGTGACGTGGATGGGAGAAAAGCCCCGGAGGGACGTCCTGTCCACTGAAGAATCTTTGACCGGGCCTGTGACGCCGAGCTCGGACCGCATCTCTGCAAATATTCCTTTACAAGATGGTTCAAATATTTTGAACACCTCATATTTAATGTGCATTTAGTCATTTACTCTCCTCAGCTGAAACACGTTGATGTGAGTAGACACACTTGAAAGCAGTTTCACTTCCAAAGACTGCTGTCTATTTAAAAATATCGACTATGCACCAAAGTCCAGATAGTCTGCCTGCTGTTGTGTTACTTGAAATTCATGCAGTAGCAAACAAATCATGACTCAGCTGATTTGTTCTTCCAGTTTGCCACATTTACTTAACACTGATTTCTGTTCTCTATATCCTTTACTTATAGCAAGTTTACAATCGAATGCACATCAGTTTAATTTGTCTCCCAATGTTAGTGTTTTGTTGCTTATGCGAAGGAAAAACCAAACAATAAATTATATTTGATAGAGTCCGTCTTTGTCTTTAAAGATGCATTTGCAGCACTTAACATAGCTACATTAGGGATGAACTTGCTTATTTAAATTTACCTTCAAAGTGGTAGAGCTGTCATTCTTTAGATTGAGCTCTAGATGGCGATATTGTCCTTTCACATGACATTCACTGTTTTCCACAAGTGAGGATTCCCTACATTTGCCCCTATATGATGCAAACGGTGTACTGTATGCTTTGGTATACTGCCTACGCGTGTGATTGATGCACAGGCAGAAATCTGTGTGTGTGTTTGTGGGAGATCTCTGGCATTAATTCCTTCAGCAGGGGCTTAGGCGCTCTCTGAGGCCCAGCTGCAGGCCATATTCTCTGGGTTCCGGGGGTTGGCAAAGACCCTGAGGTTTAGAGGAGTAGCTCGGCCGCCTGGTGAGAGATTGAGGGCTATCATTACAAAGGAAGTAAACATACACCCTCGTGCACACAAAGCTCGACAAACGTGTCAGTCGCCACCCTCTCTCGTCCATGTCACAGACGTGTACTACTTCAAAGAGATGTATTATTTTTTTCCCACCTAATTGCTGTCACATGCATCGACTCGCTTTCTTTTTTTTCCTATGTGCAAAAACATGGAGCTGTACATGCCAAAACACACACAGAACACACACACTGAACTCCATTTTATTGGTCTCACCACAGACAAGTTAAGTTTAAAGCCTATTTTCTTTCCAAACATCACTTCTTGTAGTGTGCAATTACGAGAGGTCATCATAACATTGGGAGATGTCGATGAACTCTCACCGTCCGCAGCTTGAATATTCAGCTGCAAACATTCCATCCGACTTCACGTGTTCGCGCTGCCAAAGGTATTCGAATGCATTCAGGCCTCAGAGTGGCAGAGAAGCCTGACCTTGCACCGAGGTTGTTACGGCTGAGTGAATTTCCTCTTGTGTTGTCTTGGCAGGCAGACACTCAGCTTATTCTTTCAACATAACTTAGCTTATTTGGTGGATGTTTTTACCCAAGATGCCGCACTGTACAGCATTTTTAGCAGAGGTGGTCCCGCTAGGAGTTAAACCCATAACTCTTGGCAGTGGTTGTCATGCTCTGCCTCTGGTATACTGTACAGCCCTGTAGGATAAGGTAAAAGCAGATACATCTAGGGGACTGTGATTACGACATCAGATAGCCGAGATGAAGTCTGTAATTACAGAGAAAGGAGCCCCATGGATCATCTTTGCTGTTATATTCCACGAGGCTGTGACATGTGGTTCATTCCTGTCATGATTGACTTCTTTCTTATACACTCTTTGTACCTCAACGAGTCATTCATATTATGCAGAAATTTGCTCGTATTTCCCACAATAGTTTTCCATAAAAATCTTAAGGGACTAACTCTTTCCAGTTTGGTCTGGGCATCATCTTTTTCTTTCTTTATTCATTGTCATCTTTAAACACTAGGTGACATCAACCACCATAGACATCATCCATTTATGGTTAGTGAAGTACTGTTATGTGTTAGCATTTCAGTGTTTTGGAAGCCTATGTGACGATCTTTGAAAGAAGCTTGCTACACCCTTGCTGACTAACAACTTGTGCTTGAGGAGTCTACCCTTGCTGGCTGTTGAAAAGAATAAAGCACCTTTTTCGTAATCAAATCTGGAAGGTACCCATCTGTTCTGCTATCCATGATGCTAACATGGAATAACAGTGATAGCATGCTAATATTTCCTGGGGGTCACTACGGTCAGCAGCTATTGTTCAAAATCTTTTATGTTCTTAAACTGTGTCCGCATCCCATTCGATTACTAATGCTGGTG